CCGCCCACTCACGCGCGGGCTCGCGGGCCTCCAGCTGCTGGGAAGCGTGCGGCGCCGCGGGAGGTGAGTTGCGGCCCGGGCGGGAGAAGCTGCAGGGTGCGGGCGCTCCGGGTCCCGGCGCTGCTGGAAACACTGCGGGGCCCAATGAGTAGGGGTCCGCAAATAGTAAACTAGGGCCCGCGGGCCAACCCTGGCCGGCTGTCTTTGGATATTCTGCAAGCTAGGACTGAGTTTTACATTTTTAAATAGTTGAGAAAAATACTAAAACAAGAATAGCTCGTGACACGTGAAAATGTATGAAGTTCAAATTTCAGTGTCCATAATAAAGTTTCATGGGAACACAGTCACGCTCATTCCTGTATCTCTGAACAAAATGAGTTCCAAAATACCCCTCCTGAAAAAAACCCGAAAACCCCAAAAACCTATGGCCCACAGGGCCTAAAATATTTACCACTTGCTCTTTAGGAAAAAAAACCTGTGGACTCTTGGAATAAACCAGCGAATACATAAATCACAAATTGACATATGTGGTAGAAAGTTATGGGGCCACCTGTTTCAGATAGAGCAGTGGGTTAGGACCTCCCTGAGGTCACAGTTCAGCTGAACCCTGAAGGAAGGGGACCAGAGAGGAGGCAGCTGCTGCACACTCAAGGAACTGAAAGGCCGGAGGTGGGGGGCATGACATCTGGCAGGAAAGGTGGGCAGGAGCCACACCATGCAGGGCCCTGTGAGCCATGCGGAGGATTTGGGAGCATTAAGAAGCTACTAGAGGTTCTAACAGGTAGTGTTCACAGTCACATTTATGTTCTAAAATGTGCTCTCTGACCACTGCCTGGAATGGATTGGGTGGAACCGTGGAGACTAGGAGGTTAACGCAGTAGACTAGGGAAGAGTTGATTGTGGCTTTCTCCCTCCAATCCTAACCTGGTCGAGGTTAGGACAGTTCAGCCATTCAATACCTGAAGGCTGCCATTGAGAATGCCAGGAGAGGGGAAGGAGAGGTAACAGTGAGCAAATTCAGTCCACACTGAGAGGGGAATGGTGGGAATATAAAAAGCCATAAAAATCTCATATGTATATATTCATATATACAATAAAATGCAATATGATTAGAAAGAGGAGATGAAATGAACACATATAGAACACAACTGCCCAGTGTCAGGCCTAGTGCTAGGCCGCTATTCCATAGACGTTTCGTTCTCATGAACTTTTTCAGATACAGTTTACCATCCCGTTTGACCTATCACACCCAATGAGCTCACATTAGCAAACGGTAACTGAGTATTGAGTTTGTTTATTGAATATACAAACCTGCAATAACTGTCTTTAGTGGCACAGCTCTTTTCTAAAGACTACATTACCACTTTTGGAGGGATTCCCAAAGTGACTGGGCCAACGGGCATGCATATCAAAGCAGTTATGATTATTATAACCACACTACCTCTCTCAGAAAATATTCTAGAAACATTAGATGTTCCTAGATGTCAATGTTTAGATCTTTCTTTGAGGTCAGTGATGATCTCAAGCCTAAAAGCAGATCCCTAACAGCTATAGAAAGGATTCATATCTTTTTTGGAAATCCATTAAATTTTGGAAATCCCATCTTTAGAAACTGTTAGGTAAGTGAAATGAGTGGGGGAGTGGGACACATGGGCTTCTGAAGGGAGCAGTTAGACATCATGACCACACTTTATATCTACTTTTATTTTTTTTAAATACCTTTATTGATTTCAGAGAGAGGAAAGGAGAGGGAGAGAGAGAGAAACATCAGTGATGAATGAGTCATTGATCGGCTGCCTCCTGCACGCCCCCAACCAGGGATTGAGCCTGCAGCCCGGGCATGTGCCCTGACCGGGAATTGAACTCTGATCGCCTGGATCCTAGGTTGACGCTCAACCGCTGAGCCATGTCCGGCTGGGCTATATTTACTTTTAAAAATCCCCCTCTCTCCTACTAGAGAAGGAACATTTTGAGAGCATAGACCATGTCAGTTTGTTTACCTCTGTAACTCCAACCCACACTGCACAATTCCTTGGCATTTAGTGGAGTTTTAATATCTGATGAATGAAGCAGAGAAAAGCTTCTTTCACATAATGTTAAAATGGAAAATTCTATTAATAGCACATTGGGTGCCTGGTCCTCATTTGCAGAGGCTGAATCACAGGACGTGGGCTGCCACCATTGGAGGTACATTTATGTGGAGCCATAGCCCAAGGAGGAGCATGAGCAGTGCTAAGTGCTGCACAGCAGTGGGAACCCCTAAAGAAAAGAACAAGCCAAATGAAAGCCCATCACTCTCAGCAACCACAGTCTCCAGGAGTCTTCTGTTCAATGGTTGAACCTTTGATCCAGTAGTTGTCCCATGGAAACTGTTTGAAGGACTAGAAGCTAAGACATTCTCTTTACTAGCCAGGGACACTTCTTCACTGGTAACAGGAGAAACTGATGTCCCGGTCTGCCAAAACCTAGAGCTGATGGTCACTTTCCCTGCCTTACGCTATCATCTCACAGCACTGGATTCACCAATGCCCTGGACTCCAATTCTAGGTATGGCAGATTCCAAATTCTCAGACAGTGTTCGGAACTTGAGCCACCATCAGAATCATCTGGGGGCTTGTTAAAACACAGATTTCTGGGCTCCACTTCCAGAGTTGCTGATTTAGTAGGTCCATGGTGGAGCTGGGAACTAGTGACATTGAAGCTGCTGGCTGGGGAGGCACACTTTGAGAACCACTTTTTCCAAGTCATGACCTATCAAGAGCAGGGCAATATAAACAGTCTATTATGGGTGCAAACAATAAAGGGGTATTTTGTCTGTAGAGAATTTCCAAACAATAATAAGATAACTAGAGAATCAGTCATGTTTTATCATGATCATGCTTAGGCAACTCTGAACAATGTGAGTTACAAAATACCCCTCCTGAAAAAAACCAAAAAAAACTTTCAATGGTTTTTGAAATAAGTCCTGTGACTACTCTTGACTATGGTTCAAAGTAGCACATTTTTATCACTTAGCCTTTATAAATATTGTATTCTCTATAAACGCTAATTTTGGACTCTATTTATGCAGTCAGTCCCTAACACACTTGGACTCAGCTACATACAAATATTTGGAGAGTCAGTTCTTGGTGGTTCCTAATGGTCTGAGCTCCTTCAAACTCACTTTGGGCAGTGTGTGTCTAATCCTTCTGTTACTACAGATTCCTGTGTTTAAACAGTATATGTATTTTTAAAAAGGATATAGTTTTATGTGATTTTTCTTTTCTGAGTTATCTTTTTTTTCTGGAGTGAGATTTTAGATGAGACTAATAGTACAAAAATATTTGCAAACAATGGGACTCAGCCTTGGGCAAGGTACAATAAAATATTAAGCTTTAAAATTGTCCCCTGGGTTTGGCAATGGTTTTTTCTTCTTTTATTTTAATCTTTTTTTGGCAATGATTTTAAAAAAATAAGACAGCAAAAGCACAAGCAACAAAAGAAAGAATAGGTTATTAGAGTTCATCAAAATTAAAAATTCTCCATCTTAAAATATATATTCAACCATCACTGCTACCCATTTCTAGAACATTTTCATCACCCCAAAAAGAAACCCCATACCTGATAGCAGTTGCTCCCCATTACTCTTTCCCCCAGCCCATGGCAACCACTAACCCACTTTCTGTCTTTATGGATTTGCCTATTCTGGACATTTCATATAAAGGGAATAATACAATATGTGGTCTTTTGATTGGTTTCTTTCACTTAACATCATTCTTTCAAGGATCCTCCATGTTGTAGCATGGATCAGTACTTCATTTCTTTTCATTGCTGCATAATAATCTATTATATGAATATACTACCTTTTATTTCTCGACTCATCAGTTGATGGGCTATGACATCCATGTACAAGTTTTCAGTTCTCCTAAGTATATACCTAGGAGTAGAATTTCTGGGTCATGTGGTAACTCTATGTTCAACTTCTTGAGGAGCTGTGTCTAAGTGTGGCTCTATCACTTACCAGCTGAGTGACCGAGGGCATAGTATTTCATTGCTCTGTGGCTCAGGTGCCACATCTACAAAAATGGGACAATAAAGGACATTTTTGCTGATTTCCAAAGCAATTGCACCATTTTACATTCCCACCAGCAATGTATGATGGGCCTATAGCTCACCCTCACCACCGCTTGTCAGCGCGTGTCCTTTTCATTATGGCCATTCTAGCTGGTGTGAAGTGGTATCTCGTCATGGCC